ATTACAAGTGTGGACAAGCTTGAAATGCTTTTAAACCTATGTCATTTTTGATAAACTCCAACTCTGCCCTTTTTATGAGAAAGCTACAAAAATCACTATGGTAATAGGTTTCTGTATCACAGGATAGTAATTTCAGCTTCACTCCTTGCCAACAGTATCCCTGAAATTTTGCTACATTTCTAATCTTTCCCTTGGTTTTGTGTGTTACACTGATAGCTGGCATGCCTATTTAAAGACATTCTATCTGAATTTTGTTAAGAAAATACATATTATATATTACAGGATGTGTAATCCCTGTTGTTAGGCAGTTGCAGCAAATATGGAAGAAACTGGGGGCAGCAGAGCTTTAAGATGATTGTTATGCTGAAGGACATTGACCTGTTCAATGTGATAAATACTCACTCAGGAAGAGGTGGAAAACATGACTGATGCATAACTTTACCTTTATTTTAACTTGTGTTGACAGTCATGGAGTTTGCAAACAACACACTGTGAAGCATTAGAACATAATAAATAATGATTACTTAACACAAAGAACTTACTGGGTCACAACTAGATATTTAACAAGATTTCTATAAGTGAAGTAGGAAGAGCTGTGATATGAAGTGATCATTGAGAGGCATTGAGAGTTTTGTATCAATTCTGTTGGTACTAAGAAAAAGAGTCAAAGGTGAACAATTTCATGAGAAATTGCTTTCTTTTATTTTGCATCTGGTGCAGAATTTCAAGGTTTAAGAGCTTTCCAAAAATGATTGACTGCTAACTGAATTCAGAAGGTTTATTACAGTTCTGTTTTGTATGTACTTGACAGTTGTCATCCAAGCTCAAAATTGATATTCTTCATTTTAATTCTCAATAATGGCAGAGAAAAACAAGCAGTCTGTTGTTTTCACCCTCTCAAATTCTTCTGAATGACTTTTTTAAAAGTTTGCTAATAAACTGCAGCTGACTATACTCAAAGATATTCTCTCTGCTCTCCTCCCCCTTTGATCACTGAAGTGTTTTCAGACACTGTAAATTATTTATGGCTTATCTATTACTTCCTTGGGCTCTCAGGGTTTTGTGCTCCAGTGGTTTTCCTGTTACCTAAGCCTTACTTCAGTAGCTCTTGTCATATCCTTCCAGCAAGACCCCAAAATTTTATTTATGTTTACTTCTCTCTGCCCGACTTGTGCAGAGGTTTCTGTTCTGCCATGCCTCCAAAGACTAAGGTCAGTTTCCAGTGCAACTCTCAACTTTAATATATCCAGCTTTTCCCCTACTAAATTTTCAGCTGGATTCTGGCTTCTCTTAGATATTTTAACTATAGGTTTTACTAAAAAATACTTGTATTTGCCATACATTTAACTGTCTGCTTTTCCAACTGTGAAAAAGAATTTTTCAGATTATATGCAAGTTAGTATTAGTTATTGTTTTTCCTCAATATGCTCAGCATCCATGATTTTGTATTTATCCCTACTGGCAATATTTGTGTATTTAATCTAGACTTTTCAGCACTTCATTCAGGTTGTTTGTTGAACTCGTGCCACTTTTTATGAATCACTGTGTATATCCACCTTATGAGTGTTTGGTTATCTTCAAATTATCCTAGAAAACTGTGCTGTATGTGGTTGCATCTGTTCCTTTCGTGATTTCCTGAATTAATTATATATTTTGAAGAACATACATGCATATAAGAGGCACATATTTACATCATACCTTTGTAAGTATAACAGATTTTCTCTCTTTCATATTCATCTCCAAAATGGTTTCTCTATTTTGTTTAGCATGTATTTCTGTCCTCTGATTGGGTACTACTTTCCCTTCTAAGAAACAAACAAGGCATATATCAGCTGAAATGTTTTAAAAAATGACCTGAACTGATAGGTAAGGTTATGTTTAACATGAAATCTTTTTAGTGCAATACATTTCACTTTTCCAGCTGCCCTACTTATCTTTGTAGTCAGGTTGCATATCATACCTATTTTAAAACTGAAAAGAAAAAAACAAAACAAAGAAAAAAGAAAGAAAAAACCACCAACAAAACAAACAAAAAAGGAAACCAAAAAACCCCAAAAACCTAACAACACAAAAAACTCAACAAACCAAGAGCACAACATAAAAATTCAAATATCTCCTCACATCATACTATATGTCTAAGGAAGACATTTTTCCTGCCACTGTGGTTCTAGCCTCCCACTGTTGAATTAAGCTGGATTATTGCCATTGATTCATCTGGAATAGGTACTGAGTCTCTTTAAGGCAATGGGGGAGGTAAAAGAGCTGTGCAGTCTGTCAGACGGATTATATTTAAAGAAGATAAACAGCTGTACACATTTTAGTTATAGCTATTATTAGAAGTTGATGTTGAGGTGATAATGTAATTAGTAGTGTTGTGAAATATTAAACTTAACATGCTGCATATTGATGTTTCTTCCCAGGAAATCCTTGATGCTTACTGTTTCTGTCAGACAAGGTAACATGCCTTAATATTTCATCTGACAGAAACAGCAACTCTGCATAAGCAGCTCTGGAAAACATCCAAACAGTGAAAAGGGACTGCTAAATATTTTTAATGGTGCTCATAAAGTAAATCCATTTTGTCCAGGAGCTGTAAGACTCTGTGTGAAGGCAGTCTATACTCACTTGAGACAAAAATTATGGATATAGACAGACAGATAATATACTGAAAGGGTTCATACTAGTTTCCAAAGACTGCTAAACTTCAAACTTCTCTGTGGGAAACAAATAAGCTCTTTAATGATGCTGCTGCTGCATAAATGTACAAAATGAAAACTGCACTGTTTTCTATGACTTGTAGTAATTACATTATTAATATCTTTTCAGTGCCATGTTTATGAACTATGTTGTGTTAATCTCCTTGCCATGGGAAAAATCAAATGTCGTCTTAACCTTAACTTTGTACTAGGTAGACTATGTGCTGTCACAGTTAGTAGGTACAATTACAAAAGTCCAGCAGTATTTTGTGTACTGGAAGACTTTGGTGTGCTGCAGAAACATATTTACCTACAAGAAATAAAAGCTTTGCCTCAGTGCAGCAAACATCACTTTTCAGTTTGGTGTTTAAAAGTCCAACAACCGGACAACTCCTTTTCAGCCAGCTTCCCACCGACTGTGGAGGTCAAGACTAAAGAATATGCTGCTGGCCACAAATTGCATAACAGTGAAATAATGGGGAGATTACATATATTCCCTTACACTGCACATCAAATTGTGAAGATGAATCCGTTGAGCACCTACAAGCCTGTCTGCAATGAAATTTCAGCTTTTTCAGGAAATTCCACATTTGCATTTAGTTGAGTTTTTTCTTCAAGAGCTCAATACTACTCACTAATATTACCAGAAAACATGATTATGGGAAGGCAAGTATTTTTAATCTTACTACCCCAGAGGGGCAGGGGGAGGAAATGGAGTTCCCAAGTAGCTGGAACAACAGACCAAGTTCCAGTGTCTAGCAATTGTTCAAGCAAGGTTCTGGAACATATATAGAAACAAAATATCTCTTTGAGAAAGAGGATTTCAATATATAATAACATCCAGAAGTTATGGGAAACTAAAAATGCTAATACATTTTTTAAGATTAAAGAATTATGAAATAGTGTCTAGTAAGATTAAAGATTATAACACCTCAACAGAAATATTACACTATTATAAAACACATATTCAAGAAGAATAATTTGATTAATTTCTTATTTATATTCGATTAATGATTCATTTAGATAGCTAGAGAACTTTGACAGAGCCCATTACAAGATATCAAACAGCTACCAGAATCACAGAAGAGATTTCAGCACCAGATAAAGTAAGGAAAGTCTATGCATCTCTGTCAAGCTGGAAAAGATAAAAATTCATCCATGTCTAGAAAGCAGGCAATTTGTAGCTGTGCTCTGCAGACTGACCATCAGGAAATTGGAAGTTAATAAACCAAGTGGAAGAATGAGGAATTGACTCCCTAGAGCAAGCATCTGTTTAAGGAGTTTGAGACCTCTGGTAGGCACTCTCTTTTCCTGCAAATACCATGCAGAACTTCATCAGAAAAGGAATGTTCATAGTTAGCTAAATCCTTCCTCCGCCAATACAATTTAGTTGGATATTTGGAATCCAGCTATGCTAAAGTGTTATGTGGAGATCAGAGCAGCACAAATGCAAGTAGGCAGTTGAACATTTTATCTGGAAGAATTGCTAGAGACCAGATATGCAAAAAATAGTTGCCATTTTCTATATTCATTAACTTTTGTTTATTTTATAAATAAATATGTGTGACCATTCTAGACATATCTTATGGTGTAAACCCAAAACTTTTCTGCTACTGAGTGCTTTATCTCATTTGATAGCTTTGGTGACTGGGCTGGAAAGATTCCAGGTTGTGTGGGCCTGACAGTGGGGCTCTGTTGCAATTAACCTTATGTTTCAATGTCAGTATAGCAGAAATTACTGATACACAAAGTTTAATACCCAGAGTAAAGACTGTCTGTAGCAATAAAAAATTATATGCTTGGTCAGAGATTTAGCATATGTAAACTTCCTAGACATTCAGAAGGATGTTAGATATCCATATTACCAGCGAACTTGAGTTTGACTGTTTCTGCCATTTGTTTTTCTCGTGTCTTTTTTCAGTCTGTTTGGTCATGCCTTTCATACTGATATCTAAAGTTCATCAGGTTGTTTCACATTATCAGGAAATGTTTATCAAATGAAATTTCTATAATTTTAACACTAATATGATCCCAGTGTACTATGTATGATTTTATTATAGGACTATTCCATTTTTAGCAATTTCTGTATCGTCCCTAGGAACCACAGTGAGAATCACGTAAACATCTAAACAGAGCTGTCTGCCAGAGCCTTTGCTTCCCATCCCTGACTGCAATTAACAGCAGCACTAAGTGAGGATGGGACACATTAATTCCTCTGCCCAAGAGGGTGCTCTTCACAGCACATCAACACACTGTCTCATGAACCATATGACTCATTGCTCTGTGACAACTGGTACTCTCAAACCCTGACAGATGCTCGCTAACACAACTTGAGAACTGAAACTACATTTTCTTATTGGAAATAGTGAAAATTATGCAGATTTATCATTTCTTCCCAGCTGACAAAGTCAAAAGATCTTCCTGCGTATCTTCTTTATCGATGGTTCTACTAAAGGAAACCTGAATTTGCTTTCATAGAGAAGAACTTAATAATCCAGGTATGTTGTAATGATGATGCAGCTGAGTCTGATACGTGATTGAATTAGCATAAGGATGTGTTACTATAGGCTACTGCAGAGTAATTTTTAATCAGGGCAAGAATATTTTAAAGGTTTGACTCATGGCTTTAGTACAATTCCAAAGTCCTTGCTAGCACGTTATTTTATTCAGGCACACTGAGTGAGTGATGGAAAGTAATATAAAGTTTCCACAGCACCTTCTGATATCAGGAAGGCATATATTTGAAATCATCCCTACTGACAATTAAACTGCCAAGACAGAAACAGTAGTTTCCAAAGCATAAATATATATTCATGGAGGTGATTATTTGAAAGGGCAATAAGAATTTAAGAACAGGAATGACAAATCAGTCAAGGCTATTTTTTAAATAATTAGTGCTTAACATATTTCTCTTCCTTGAATCATCTGTCCAGCTGATTTAGTATCTTAAATATCCAATTGACACAATTCTGCTGCTTAAGTGTCCCATTTCAAAAAAAGCAACCTCTAGCTTTTTTCAAACCTCTTGCTGCTATTCTAATTTGGCACTCTATTTATTGGATCAGAAGACATACTGGATAATCTTACTAAGAAATTGCTTTACTTTTTGTAGATCCTTTAAATTCCTGTATCATAAAAAGCATGATTCCTAAAGTTCTGTGTACAGTGAAATACTTTGTCTTAAGGACAGAGAAGAATTTTTTCTCATTTTTTCATCAGAGGATATAGTTAGGTTGGTCAAAGAGGCATTTAGCTTCAAAATTTCAAAGTTTACTTTTACACTGGACATTGCACCACATAATACAATACTCTCTCATGATAGAAATACCTGCATTTGCTTTTATAATTTACAGCCAGAGAATTCAATATTCTCCATTTTTCAACAAGAAATAACACACATCTCATTTATAAGAAATAAGCCCTTTTTTTAAAATGTGAAATGGTGGTCGTTTCTACAGACAGGGTTAAACAGCAAATAAGATTTAGTTACACTGACAAAAGTGTCAATTTAGATACCAATTTTTCCTCCCTTTTGAAACCAAACCAAACCTTTGTTCAAATATTTTGATATAAACATTAAAGAGCAGCTGCAAGTCTAAGGACAGCAAACTTATTGAGTCCAAAGTATGGTAGGGCAATGTCTCATCTATTAGACAGCTCAACACTTTGAGGTGACAAAGGATGTAAGCGGAAACCTAATTCAACAGTGGGAACTAAGTGGGATCCTCACTATGTGGTTTTCTGATTGTTATTGCCTATTACACTAAAATATGTCCAGGAAGATCTTATGGATATTGTAACCTTGTATTTCTGTTCCACCTGATTGGAGCATTACCATAATTTGAGTTTCCTCAAAAACATTTAGGGTTCTAAAATAATAGTTTGCATATCATGATCTCTGGATACCAAAAGTCTATTGTGGGAGAAAAGGACCCTCTGTCCTGTCCAATAGGATACTCATTTTGAGACAGAAGGAAGTATTTTTAGCAGTGGAGAAAATGGGCAGCCTCGGGGGATACTGCATTTGCTGAAAAAGGGAGCACATTTGATGACATTAGATAAGATTTTGCAGAAGAGCAGCAGGAATTAAATAAGATTGACCAGACTTTTCAGTCATCTGTTGGAAAGCAGTGTTCTAGAAATGCATTTAATTAACTGAAGGTTTCTAAATAAAACAGCAAAAAAAAGCTCTTGGGAATTAGTGATACAAAAGGACAACAAACATCTAATAAAATTCAGTTTTTGGCTGCTAGTCATATTTTGATTCCCTGTGGAAACATGACAGAAGACAAAAGAACTGTACTGTTTAAAAAGCTAATATCCTCATGTTTGAGGTACTGCTTTCTTTCTGCATCTTTCAGCATAATCCAAAATATTTTATTACTATCATGTGAAATTTTCTTTTCTTGGGACAGTACTGTTTATTGCTTCTCTTTGCCATTTTTCAGATCTCCTGGATTGGAAAAATCTTGAACTTCTGAGGGAGCAGCATCTCATCTGTATTACCTCCCTGGTATCTTTTTTGCTGTTTTAACTAAGTGTGATGCAGTGGGAGATGTAATTAGAGATACTAATGAACTCTTTTACAGCCTACAGATGATTTATCTATATCACTTTGACTCCTCTGCCATTTGCATGAAACTCAAAATTTCACTCTTTCAAAATATTTCCAACTTTGAGATAAGAAGGTCTTTTTAAGAATCCAGTTGTGTGGGCATGTAAAAAGTCTGAATACAAATTTCCATGTTCTAATTTTTGACTGACTTATCTGGCCACTTTAGTCCTGCATACCTAGATCTCCACCAGAAAGACCAGTCTAATTAATGAAAATTCACTGTGTATATTAAAAATTAAGCCCTATTAGCCAGTCCTATTTAATTGAAATACATCACAACATGTGAGGCGATGACAACTTAATGGCAGATGGCATTTAATGAACCACAGAAAAGAAAAATTCAAAAAACAGCTGACTGAATAAGGTGCTGTCAGAAGGAAAAATAAATGTGTGATGTCTTCCTTACATTTGATTAGAGGAAAATTAAAGCACATAAAAGACATCTTCAGAATGTTTTGAGCTCCTAATTAATGGGTTGTTGGGATGGTCAATGAACAGAAAAAGTGAGTCCCAACCTGCATGAGGGACTGGCATTTAAGTTGCACTGAACAAACCTACAGGACTTGGATGCAGATTGCAGATGTCCACACACTTAGCAGAAACCCAGGTGAGTTCAGCCCCTTACAAGGGTACTGTGGGCTGGCACCTGACAACTGCTGGGAAAATGGCTAGGTGGGCTAAAAGCATAAACTCCCCAACAAAGAAACCCTAAAACAGGGAAGATCCACGGTTAAATTTCTTGGGAAGCTGTTATGACAAAACTGATTGTATTAAGCAGTATCTTATCACTTTTTAGTATCAACCAAATCAATATCTAGAAACAAGGATTGAATTTGTGAATCCAAATAATTTCTTTCAATTTTAATTAATGTCTAAAGCAAGAGCTCTTTCTATTTTTTTAGTCCTGAATACTTTTCCTGTAGTGTGCACAAATGAAAGTAGAGTCTAGCTAGGGTCATAAAAAAACCTGTGAAATCTTCATTGTTCCTTGAAAGCAGTAGTGGATTTAATACACTAAACAACATAGCAAGTGCTGCTCTTGGTAATATAGAGTTAACACCTGTTGGTTTTGACAGAAATTGTACATACAAAATAAAAACCCACTTTCAGTTAGCTCTGCCCTTCAGGGCTGTATTTAATTGACCTTAGGACAGAGAGCAGGGTTATCTCTCTGATCTCATAGACCAGCTGTAATGCTGCTTCCAGCAATGAAACATTTCAACTTTCAGGAGAGAAATCCTTCAGTAAAAGAGTGCCGTTAAATACTCCTGGTAATACTCTGAACAGGATTGTTACTGAGTGGCCCACATGACACTGGAATTCTGGCACTGAGGAATAACTGGTGTGAACTAAATTACTTTCACTCCTATCCAGGATATCAGAACGATCTGTACTAGTTGCCCTTGAGCAAAAGGGCAAAAAAGAAAAAGGGCATTTGATCTTAATAATGACTTACTAATTCTCATTAATGAGCAGGATATCCTTTGTGAATTATAAAAGGAATAATGAAATGAAAGAAAAATGTATTGATAAAAAGAAATTAGAATAAATCCCAAAGAAGACCAACTCATGAGAATTTGGAAGTTGGTTTAAGGTTGAGTTGGTAGAACGATCATATACATATTTTAAATTACTTCACTCTCTTCCCCAGGTTCTAGATTTGTAGATGGCCATGGTATAGTTAATGAGGTCACACTATATAGTTTTATTTTTCATTTTTGTTTGAAATATCCATATCTGTAGCAGTTTTTCAAATGTTATGAGAAACTATTATTGCTTTATTCTTTTAAATAGTCAGTACAGGAAGAATTAAAGAATTTCCAGAAAGCTATTCAGATTTTCTTCTGAAAGATTTAAATAGTGGGTAAACCGAACAAGTAATTTTTAACCACATCCCAAGCTACTGAGGTTTGTGCCCACAGCTGCAGACACACACACATTTGTAAATGCTTACAGCAATATATTATTCTTATAATTCACATTTCTCTAAAATGTCTTTAAATATTATTTTTGATCCTGTTAATTTTATATTTCCTAATAAATACCCATAAATATTAAACTACATTAAATACTACCTAAATATTAGAACATTAAAAAAGGTTATTTGATAACTAGTGAGAAATAGCCAGCTATGCAGGAATTAAGAACAGCTAGAACTGTAGTGTAAATAACTTTGCCAAACACATTTGTAAAAATCTGAAGTATTTCTTCTTTCTTTTTCTCTGTAGTTGAATTGGACCATGGTTGCATGGTTGTGGTTTAGCTCTGGCAGCCAACAAGCCCCATGCAGCCACTTGCTCATTGGAAGACAAACAGTGAGAAAAATCATGGGTTGCACTAAAGAAATTTTAGTATATGAAGTTAAATCTGCACATGCAATCAAAGTGAAATAAGGAATTTATTGCCCACTTTTCATGGGCAGGAAGTGTTCAGCCACCCCCAGAAAAACAGGGCCCCATCATTTGTAACAGTGATGGAATAAAAACACCAGTAGACAAACACCAGCAGTCGTCCTTCTGCTTTATCTTTCCTTCCCAAACTTCTGCTGCTGAGCATGATGTCAGATGGTATTGGATATTCTTTTGCTCAATTGTGATCAGCTGTTCTGGCTGTGCCTCCTCTCATGCCTCCATTTGGTTAGCCCCAGTCTATTTGTCTGGAGGAACAGAGTGAAAAACAAAGACCTCAATGTTATAAAAGATAGTAAAACAGAGTATAAGAAATAGCAAGTATAAAAAGTATTAAAAAAAATCTGAAAAAAATTAAATGGATAAAAAAATGTTGCTAAAAATCCCCTCTATTCCTAACCCTACCCTTTTGAAATCCTAGCTTTCAGTTGTAATCTGTTCTCTTGCTATTACTACTCTAATATCAGAAAAATAATATTCTAACCATTCTGAAAATAAACCCTTGAAAATGCCTAATCTAATAATGTTCAAAAATTACATTCATTTTTAAAATAATTCTTATTCTGTACCAAAATAATTATATTTTGAAATTGGTCTAAATTGGGAAATAATTTGCATTACGCTTCTGCATCGCACTTCAATATCTAAGCTAATTAGGTAATTTTTTGAGCAGTCAGAAATTTCAGCTATTCACTTTGGCATATCTCAGTCAAATGGGATTCACAAAATTGTGGATGCCAGAGCTGTGCATACTCTTGGTAAGTACCCATGTCCAACATAGTAACTTGCATTTTACATCAGTGAGGGCAGGCTTAAGATTTACACAGAATACTTAGTTATTAGGAACTTATTTATCAGGAATAGCTAGGAAAATATCTTTAAGTCATTCCAGTCTAGTAAATCAATTCTGAAAGATCATGCTGATGACTGCCTGATCATAATCAATAATGTAGAAAATAAGAGAATCACAAGGTTCCAAATCAAATCTGGCTGGATACCTAATTTATGTAATATCTATAAGGGACTAAATCCATTAAAATGTTAGAAGCTGTATTTCTAAAGTGCTGCTCCTCTGTTTCAAAGAAGCTTTGAAACTATTGCAAATGACGAAGAAGGAAGGAAATAAGAGGCTTTGTAGAAAACCACAAAAGTTTTGCAAAAAACCAAATTTTATTTCATTTGTTTTTAAAAGTGGCAATTTAGGAGCCCTTCAGTGGTGAAAGTCATTGGCAACTCTTAGGCATAAGCTATGTGAAAACTTTGGATAGATTTGTTTTATTTGCACTATTTTCTCCTAAAAAATATTTTGGATAAGGCATATTTGAAGTCACATTCATCTGGCTTGGCAAACAAAACTCGTATGTATGTTTTGTTTAGATTATCTTAATTTATTATGCCCATGAAAAAAAAAAAAGAAGCTTCTAAAAAATAGTTAATGAAAAGCTGCAGATTCTAAATTTTAGCAGAGTTCTGAAATGGCTGTATTACAGAAAACAATATTAATCAGCTCAGGGTAGATTTATGTGCTATTTATTTGTAAGTCAGCAAACATTCATAACAACCTGGTAGATACTTCTAAAAGAGATTTCAAAATTTAATCACCTTTCAAATTTGATAATGCTGCCATTTAGCTTCTCAAAATGACAGATTAAACCCACTTATTGCTGCTTACATAATAACCATTAAAAATAAAAACAACAACAACAACAAATCCCAAACAAACAAAAAAGCCCCCAAAACAAAACTCCAAAGCCTATTGTGAGGGGAAAAAAAGGTATTTCTGGATTTAGTATTACTAGAATTGTATGCAGATTATTGCAAAAATGTGAAATTTGAACTACTGTTCCAGCTGTGGATGCAGAGGGATAGAATACCAGTTTGTTCATCTATTCTTTGAAAGAGCATGCCTGTTTTTTTACAAATGAGTGAGACTGAATAATTTAAGGAGAAGAGACAAAATTAGAACAGGACTGCATGTGAATAAAATAAGTGCTGCTGCCAATAGGGAGTGACCTAAACTGGCATCTCGTGTATACCCAAAAGTGTACCAATCTCTTCTTCTCTCCATCTGTTCCTGCACTCAGAGCACCTAGCTGTAACCTCTGGTCTTGTACAGCAAAAAAAATTCCATGCATTTCTCCTCCACAGCTGATGTGACCAAAAGTCTATTGAGCTCCCAGTTTAGTACAGATTCTTCCCTGGATTAGTAGCTTAATAATTTTACTGCCATGTCATCTGCTTTTCAGAAACTCGTTCTAATGCTTCTCAAGCTCCCCTTGAAGCTACATTCCTGGAAAAACTGGTCCTGCAGTACCTGGTTTGACATTCAGCACTATAATTCCTAACTCCTTGCCAAATCACTTCCTGATGAATAATATCCATTTACTGTCTGCCCAAAGTCTTCACAGTAGCCCCAACTCTTACTAAAACCACTCTATCTTCATGCTCAGTTCCTTGCTGCAAGAGCAGTGCTTGCCACCATATTACAAT